GTTTGTTCTCAAAGACAATAAATCACAACAGCAGATCACCACAAATAGGTTCAGACAAGACAATAGATATGTAGAGGTAACAATCAAGGGTTGCTCATCATAATCAATGCCTAAGTCAGTTCCTGCACTGCAGACCTTGTTCCTCACCCCTTCCCCTTGCTGTCTTGACTGGACTTTCATGTTCAGCGCTGGACCAAACCTCAGCACTGAGCCTTTGATGAATTACTGGATGCTGTCTGGTTTCACTGAACTTCGGACTGGACACAGAAGCTTTCTGCCTGTGCCTTGACCACTCGTATTTACAAATGCCTTGAATGACTGGCTCTTTGTTAATCATTTTGACGGTTATCATAACTGTGAAATAGCAGGCTGAGTTCCCAGCTTTATTGCCAGCTACTAATTGAAGGCAGCCATAAAACATGACAGAATGAATTGAAGCTGAATCCCAATAAGACAGAATCTTTGAGGTGGCAGTTCCCAAGTCCTGGAATGGGCCATTTGCCTGTTTTGGATGGGAATCCACTCCCTCTGAATGAGTGAGTATGTAGTATGGGTGTACTACTGGCTCCAACTCTGTCCTTGAAAGCCCAGGTGACCTACGGGGCCCAGAATACCCACTGCCAGCTGTGCTTGGTATGCCAACTATGCCTGTTCCGGGGGAAAAATAATTCACTCTGACCTGCACCCAGTAAGCAGGTGACAGCCAGTGACTGCTTCACTCTAACATGCACAGGGTGGCTCATTTTTGGACAACGTGCTACGATGACAACCCACGCCTTGTTCTAGGGATTGAAGCCATGATGGACTGGCATGCTGTCCAAACCCAGGAGACAATGCATTGTGTGCTGACCCACAGTAGAAGCAAGCCACTTGGCAAAAGCAGCAAACCCCCCTTATTCTGGCAATCTCACTCATCACACTACTAGTAACAGTCACTCCACTGAAACCTAAAGCAGCAGCACCTTGGAGGACCATCACTGGCTCATTATCATTATTTTCAAGCCACAGAAATGTAAACAAATGAATTCTGCTTTTTGGGGAAGGAGTCTTTCACAAGCACATACTTATGGCTGACTGAAATGTGGGATTTTAGCTGGCCAGCATTCTGGTTAGCGTCAAGGGCAAGGCTACATACACATTACTTTGCACACATGTAACAGCTGTTGACTGGCAAACTATCCACTGAAAAGCAAAGAGGGCCTGCCCCCAAAAGAGGTGGTGAGGATATATTTATTATTTATTTATTAGGAGAACTTCTATGCCGCCCCATTTGCCGAAGCCTCGGGGCAGCTCACAACCATAAATAAATAGAATCCTATAAAACAATATAAATTATATCCCTCTTAGTTTTAAAGAATTGGTCTGACAGGTCTCAGAGCCTTCTACTTTTCCACAATTCCGTGAGCCTTTAGCTACATTCCCTGGGAAATATGCAGCCATGCCAAAAAAAGAAAACAGAGTTGCTCAAATTTCCCCATCAGGATTTTTAAAAAGAATGCTTTCTTTTGACATGAAAAGGGGGTATGATGCAGGTCTCCAAAAAACTACTGTCCCCCTCCCCCAAAGCTACTTGTTTGCCACGATTCTGTGGTCACAGCAATAAGGCACAGATTCTGGCTTCATTCGAGTCATGCCAGCTTCTACTCTCAAGTGTTCCAGACTTGCAAGAGAAGCCTGTCAAAATGAAGATGTAAAGCAATGAATGGCGTGAGAACCCAGGCAGTAAAAATCGCCCCTTTTTGAGGGAGAGTGATTCACATGCTCACTGGAGCTTCAGTCAGTTGCGAGGAGAAGCACCACTGCTTTCTCAAATTTTGATTACAGTAGGCAGAAACTGTTATATCATTCACATGAATCCTAATAGAATACTTCTATATCATACACATTTTTCTTCAGCGATAATACAGATATACCTTCCCCTACTCCTGAGACACACACTTTTTTAAAAGAAGAAAAGAAGTCAGGGAATTATATAATTAGAAAATTATAATTATGTGATTTTTTTCATCTTGAGAAAACTCAGTATACTGAAACGTACAGCACTGGTACAGCTAGGCCATATTGTGCCCAAAGCGCAAATACAAGTTAATTTTCTCAGCAAACCGATTCCCAATAATCCAAACCAACTTCTTGAAAAAAAAGACAGCATCTAATCAGCCTCAGGTGTCCGAAAAGTTTGTTGATTAACAAGATCACCCACCACTGAGGGTAAAAGGAGCACTATAAGATATGGACTGAGGAGAGCTTCCCTACTCTGTATGTTTCACACTGAGAGCAACTCCTTCACTCCCCACCCTCCCTGGCCCACAGAGGCATTTCAAATTCTCAAGGGGCTTATGAGCTTTCCAGGCTTATTCACTGAAACACGCCCCTCCTCTTAAGTTTTCCAGCAGATCAATAGAAAGGGATTCTTTCAAAGTTACTCTGCTTCTGCTGATAAAAAAAAAACCCCACACAACAGCGTATCAACTTTTGAACAGTGCATTTGCAAAGCTCCCTTCTCTGAACAGATGAAGTAAATGAACAAAAACAGCAAGCCACAACAAAGGGGAGGCGGAGGAGAAACCAGAGCAGGTGTTCTAGACTACAGCACACAATGGGTTTTGGAGGGCTACTGGGCATTCCATGGGCTCCCTCACTCAACCTTCTCACCATTGCTGCTTCTAGCTGCTACTGCTCCTCCTCTTTCTCATGACCTGCTTGCCTGACAGATGCTGCAAGGATGCTGTAGCACCCACCATGTCTCCTCCTCACCATCGCCTTTGTCAGGGCCAGAATGAGAGCCCTTCAAACAAGCAGGCTGCCATGGTGAAGTACAGGAGCAACTCCCAGGCTCTCTTGTCCACGGATTCCAAATGAGGTGCTCATCAAGTGCTCAACTGTGCCTGTTTCTGATGCCAGTCTAGTCCACGGGATTCTTTGCTCCCACCAATTTTAGCAATGTCCAACGGTAGCCTCTGATTGGGTGGGGGCTACAGTATGGTTATGCATAGAATTAGAATGCTCTTTAACATTTACTGATTTGTGCATTCTTTGAAGTTATTTATCTTCTGCATGAAACTCATCATAAGGACAGTGTAAATGTATTGTCTGCACCTTTCTTACATCCAGAAGACTGTTATGAGAACACTGGATTGATTAATACTCACTTCCTATAGCCCAGTGGCTTGAGAACCTAATAACACTTTCAATATTCAAATAGGTGTTATTTAGATGTCACCTGCAGATGAATAAATATATTAATATTTGGCCTGCCTTTTCCTGAAGCTTATGCATAAATGTTTGTATTGATTGATATGTACTATTGTATTTCAATGTATTTTATCATGTTGTAAGCCGCCCCGAGGTTTCGGCAAGGGGCGGCATAGAAATGTTATTATAATAATAATAATAATAATAATAATAATAATAATAATAATAATAATAATAGCTGTATTATCACATGCTTCCATATGGATATACATTTCATACACACCTATTGTAAGTTCCTATTCTTTCCATAAGAAATTTGATTTATCCCATTTTTATATGGCTTTGTTTTGGTAAAATTAACATTACAGAAATAGATTTTTAAAAAGGGATCCTTCAGATGAATTCTATGCAACCCAGTCTGGCTCCTGGGGTTGAGGCAGCTTTAGATTTCTACCATACAGTGTCAGCAGCTGGAGAGGCTCTGGGTTCCAAGAGGTTCACGGCACTCCAGCAAACACAGGATGGGGGGGGGGGGGTAAAAGCAGGCTGGATGTGGTTTGGCAATTTTTCTTTCCTGCATATTAGGGGAGGGCAATCTATAGCTGTATTATCTGACACTTCTTTTCTAATGGGAATCTGTGTTCTTCTGTGAGGGGCACATCACATATTCTTTAGCATTAGCTAAAGATTTAAGGAGTCTAATGCTGGACTGCTTCCTCAGCCAAAGATACAAATCACGTCTGAAATAATGGCCAAACTCAAACCTTTCTCCAGTGCATGATTCCAACAACATACTCACTCCACTACAACTGCAATTAGATCAAAGTAACTTCTTGACAGAACTGTTAAAGGTCAAGACAGCGTTCCACCGTTAGAGCAGTGGAACATTACCAAAATAGCATTCCCTGCCATTCTTTCATCCGAGCATGTCAAGGGGCCTGCCAGCACAAAGCAACCAAGAGAGATAAAATCACATAAAAGCAGAAAGGAAAAGAGAAAGAAAAAGGGGGATAAAATAAGAATGGGACAAAGCCTAAGCTCGCACTCTCTGAACAGAAAGAGAAAAGCAAAATTCCTTTCTCTTGATGTGAGGAACTGGGAGTCACAGCCCTTTAATGTGCACACTGAATGCACAGTGGACCTCCCAGGGAAGTGTCTCCTCTAACTCTAAAAAGGTGCAAATATTTAAGCAAGCACAGAACCATTATGTGGTACTACACAGAGGCATCAAAGGAGAACACAAGCATTCCATTAGCTTCTTTGTCCAGAACACCAAAGTTTGTTGCATAATTGCTTTAACAACTTTGTCACAGGAACAATAGCAGTTTTAGGCCAAGGATGGGGTCTTTCCAAAAACAAGTGAATTGGAAAATGTTCCAGAAATAAATTCATCTGGAAAGTTTCCACTGTCTTAAATTGACTGGAGATCTAATTTGGAAAGTTTCGAAATAAGTCTTGTTACTTATTTTTTCTTTTACAAAGATATACTATTAATTTTATACCAGCATTTAAGTATGTTAAAAGATATGACCAATTATGCTAACAAGTTTATCTAAGATGTCAGTCAAGGATATCTGAATTCAGAAAACATAACACAGAAAACTGACACAGTGTAACCTAAGCCAAACAAAACAAATTACAATTATCAGTAAACGTAATGTAGGGAGATTTGGATATACCATTTTAGAGGCTAAACTAATTCAATGAGTAAGAAACAAAAATGTAAGTTATACTAATGAGCTGTGGATACCCTTTCCATTTTTCACCATTTCATCCCTCCTGAAAAAAAAGTGACATTCTCTACTTACATGCTGTATTTCCTGCTGGCTGGCTCGGTAGTTTTTCTTGGTTAAATTGTCCACCAGGTAGCTGATTTGAGACAAGGCCAGCGAGAGCGAGTCAAGATTCATTGCTGGTTGGGGCGGAAGCAGGCGGCCGAGCCCGGCGCAAAATCACCATTATTCCCCTTTAGTCACCTCAGAGACAGGTTAATTTTTTCCAGTTAGCCTGTGTCTCAATGTATGCTATATCTTCAGCTCTTCTTTCCTAGTACTCTCACTCTGTTGTGAATCATGGCACCTGCAAAACAAGACATTAAGTCTTACATTACTTATCATCTTCCTTAAGTTATATCTGTATCTTATACAATATAATTCCTTTGCCGGTGATTGCTTACGCATAACTGAATGATCATGTACTCCCCATATTATATAGAACAAAAGGTCTGCAGGGAAAAGTTAAATAAGATAGTGATTCTATCTATCCTCAGATATCCTTAAAATTCTATTTCTAAGAAATAAGGTAGTAATAGACAGATCTGTTAGAACTTTTCTGCAAACGCCCTCCTTTTTCTACCCTGTGATGTAAGACAGAAAGTTTTCTAAATTTTCACGGGGCAGAAAGGTACTAAACTATTTTAAATTAGCCATTCGACGTTCATGATCACTTTCTCTGATTACAGCATGCTTTTTATTGAAATACCATACAGGTGAAGGATTACTGCCACTGAAGGATGCAGTAAGAGAAATCTTAAAAGACTGGTGCAGCATTGTATTATTTATCGGAATTCTATCCTGCCTTTCCATCAAGGCAATGGCACTCAAGGGTGCTATTCTTCTGTCTTGTCACCAAAAGATACTGGTCCCTTCAAGGATCACATAAGCTATGGCATTATTTATTTATTTTATTTATTTATATTTATTTAAGATATTTGTATGCCGTCCTTTGTGAGAGCCTCAGGATGGCTTACACAAATAACATTCCAAAATACATAACAATATAAATAAATTGATGACCCACTCTGGCGGCAATTAAAATACAGTAATAAAATTCAATATAAAAACTTATAAAATATTGATTAAATAAAAAGGACTTAACCCGGCGCCGAAAAACATATGACGGTGGTGCCAGGCAGACCTCTCTGGGGAGTGCATTCCATAGATGGGGAGCCACTGCAGAGAAGAGCGGGTACTCTGTCTCCTAATATCTTTCACAGAGGGTTCCCAGAGGAGGGCTGCCCTCAGGGGGCAGGAGGGCAAACAGGGAAGAAGGCATTCCTTTAGGTGTCCTGGTCCCAAACCGTTTAGGGCTTTATAGGTAATAACCAGCACCTTGAATTGAGCCCAGACTTCGATGGGAAGCCAGTGAAGCTGGTAGAGGACTGGGGTTATATGAGAGTAACGCCCAGTCCCCGACAGCATCCTGGCAGCTCTGTTTTGAACCATCTGAAGTATCCGGACTGTCTTCAAGGGCAGCCCCACGTAAAGCGCGTTACAAAATCCAACTAGGAAGTAACCAATGCATGTGTTACTGTCACTAGGCAATCTTCCTCCAGGTAGGGACGCAGCTTGTGGATTAGCCAAAGCTGAAGGAAAGCGCTCTTTGCCACCGCTGTCACTTGAGCTTCCAAGAACAGCTCCGGATTGAGGAGCACTCCCAAGCTGCGGACCCTGTCCTTTAGAGGGAGTGCAACCCCGTCCAGGGCAAGGCCCAAGTCACCTACCCAGAACCTCCGTCTTATCTGGATTTTCAGTTTATTATTGTGTATCCTCCACAAACACGCATGTACACACACAACCACACTGAAAATGATATTGCTAACAATGGTGTTTATCTATTTCCTAATGGCACTGCTGCTGCACAGAACCCACTATGTACACTCCATGGCACAGCAGGTTAGCGGAGCTCACTTAGGTGAACTCTGCTGACATGTTCCCTTCCAGAAGTAAGTGTTTCTACTTATTTTGCATGCCCTCATCTGAGAGCACTAAATTGCCATCGCTCAAGCAGTGGAGAGCTGCCTGCACTACACAACTGGTGAGACACAACAGAATATGGAGGAACATAATCACCCCATTAGATACTGCACTTTGAGAGCTCCATCCTATGTTTTATATGAACAGGATGCACAATATTTATTAATTTTTTTAATATGAAAGGGATTTTGCCACTCTTCAGTCCAAAAAGTTCCCATAGGATCTTACAAACAAGAAAAATTCCCATAGGATCAAACAAGAAAATTGGAACAATATTAAACTAATTGCCAAGTTGTCACTTGAGTGCTCATATTAAGGCATCATTTAACAGTGGACTCAGGTGAAATTTTGCGATGAGAGATTGAGGTCTCTCTCCCTCAACTTCCTTTCCTAACAATACAGTTTATTTGACAACACTGTTGTGGCAATGGAACTTAAAGCCATCCGAAGTGCCACGTAAGTGATAACGAAGAATGGGTGACAATGTCCGGACCTTCACACAAATGCACTCAACAATAATGTGTTACAAGCAAGTGAGGATCCATTTGGCATACTTTAGGTGAGACTAGCAATGAACCAGCTTAACCACAATAATTCCGACTATGAATGAACAGTCTCTTACAACATCTTGAAATATTGTGACATCGATGATAATAGAGCAGAGGTCGGAAATAGTTTTTTTCCATCAAGAGGTCCTGTTCCCTGGGGAATAAAACTATCCACAGCTGCAGGACAGTGCTGGGCAGGCCCCAAGGCCAAACTTCAGTGAACCCCACCCCCCAACTCAACAGTCTCCTGTTCTTTTTCTCTCCCCATCACTGACCTCCTACACTGCCCAGCTTGGGCCAGATCACCCTTGTCAGAGGTGAGAATTGCCGCAAATTCAGCAAAAGGCCACAAGAAATTAGGCCATGGGTCACCATTGCCCACTCTTCTACAGAACAAGCTGAAGTTGTGCGCTGGTCTTTCTGCTGCCAGCTACATCGAAATGGAGCAATTCTAGATTTCCTAAGGTTAAACTCACACCTGCATTAAAGTAGAGGGCAAAGACCTTTAACACTAAGGTGGGCACAGACACTACATATCTGCTCACCTTTTTGAAACAACTTATCATATCCCCTGTTCCCTGCATCACTGGATATTAAAACTCTGCAATAACAAAATGTTTTGCTGGGCACCCCACGTAACTGGAATTTGCATTTGCTGATCACCCCCATCAGCGAAGACAGCCAATCACTGCAGTAGGTACTGTGAGAAGGAAAATCATGTTTGCCCATTATGGAATTCCTGGAACTGTAGGATAGAATAAAAGATTTAGCATCGCTTCACAATGACAAACAGCAGCCATTGCTATAAAGCAGGGGTCGGCAACCTTTAACACTCAAAGAGCCATTTGGACCCCTTTCCCACACAAAAGAAAACACCGGACACCGCAAAACCCTTTTGACATCTAAAATGAAAGTAACACTGCATATATTGTTTTTTACCTTAATGCTATGTATATCTTCATTATGATTTAGCTGCAGCTCTTGTTCAGTGACTAAAAACTGTTATTTTTCATCTTACATTATAAACTAGTAGGACTCCTTTCATATATTTTGAATAGGAGAACAGCTTCCTAAAGAGTCAAAGTCAGTGCTAAAGGGCTGCATGCATTAAACAGCAAACCCCATAAGTTTGTCAGCAGTAAAAGCAAATGAATCTACCCAGGTATCATTAAACAGCCGGTTTTCTTCAGAAACTTTTCTTCGATGTAGTCATGGTTGGCCTACCGGGGTGGGGGGGGAGTTCAGTGAACTGGAGCGGGTTCGGGTTCGCAGATCGATCTTCGCAGATCGATCGGCGACTATGCCGGATATAGGTGTGTTTAGTGACTGATTAGCAGATAAACAGTCAAGTGCTGTGAATTGTGACAGGTCCCAAGCGCAATTTTTAACATTCAGATGAAGGAGATGACATTGGGACAAAGAGGATCTTTTCAGCAGTGTTTTGTGTAACATGAGAGCCTGCTTGTTTAGCAGAGGAATGTAGTAATTTACTAGCCGATTTACTTAACTAGCTATCGCTGCATCCCCGAGTGGAGCTTTGAGCAGATCAGCGGCTGTGCCGGCGCGTGTTTTGAGCTCCGGAGCCGCAGCACAGGGGTTCAAGAGCCACGTGCAGCTCCGGAGCCGCAGGTTGCCAACCCCTGCTATAGAGCAATCATTGACACAGCTTCCATAATGGATCAATTCAGTTTCTTAACCACAGGTTGTGCAGGAAAGAGCAAGTATACTGGGTCCCAACTATTCCCAATTCACTAAATAGACCGAAGACAGTTGTTCTTTGTGACATTCAAACACAGAACCTTGAGGATAAAAGAAGAATCAACTCAGAGTTATAATCTATGGTTTGTTCCTCCACTGTAACTCAGTGCTATTTTTCTCCTCAGCAATCCAGAGTTTTGGGTTCAGTCACTTAAATCCACAATGTACATGGTATTTCACAAAGAATAAGACAGAAATCCCTACACCAATGAAAACACAATCTAAAAACAGAAGAGACTTAATAGAGGAATGGGAAATGGAGACTGGAGAAAACAGAAGAATATGTGATTATTTCAGTTACTTATACTTGGGCATAGTTATAATAGGATACTGGATATAGATTTTTTTCCCAGAGATTTCCTATAAGAGGTCAGATCTAAGAAGCAATTTGATGGTTTCAGGAAGGTGGTCTGGAAAGCAGTGCCAGCCTCAAGAGGTAGCAATGGAAGCAGGTAGGCGATATTTTATAAAGCAGGAGGCCTTCTGATGGCCAAAGGTGGAGGAGCTGGACAAGTACGACACAGAAAAGGATGGACTGGCTTATAAGAATGGTGAGACAATGGAAGCCTCTGCAGTGGGTCCACAACAGTGCCAGAGCACAACTTTTGCATGTAGCAGGTCTCAGACTCAACTCCTGTGAAAAAAGAAACAGGTTGTGGTAATGCTAAAGATGTCTCCATAAACCCTGTCCAACGTGTGCCAGGGAAAATAGTCAATACTGGACTAAACTTTGCAGTAGTCAAGGCAAAGACCAGAGAAAGAACAGTATTTATGCAATGCCATCATGATAGAAGTCACAATGATCTGCTCATGGACTGAATATGGGGGCAAGGAAAAAAGGTGTCAAGTGGTGGGTTCTACACTGCAAGTAAGTTAGACAGGGTGGCTCATTCTTGAAACAACCCGCAGTGTTTCCTAAAGATGATCAGGGTCACTGTATGTTATCTTCCCCTTTCTTGATTCTGGTGAAAAGCACTGCCAAAAAAGCTTAGCTTATACACAACTCCCTTCACAGTGA